AGTCCACCGACACACTGGACAGACCGAGGAAGCGCCTGTCACCGCCTTTTCAGCGGCCCAAAGTGACGAGACGGACGAGGCAGCGCTGCGCACTTACAACCCAAAAAGTCATCAGCGTGGCGCGCCGATTAGTCGAACGCATTTGTCCACTCGAAAAACCCATCTTCCGACGGCGCCACGGTCCCATTAGTGCTCATCTGCATGCACCCCAGAGAGGATGCAGGACTCCAGCACCCGCTAGCACTGCGGGCGTGTCGTGTCTCCGTCGCGCTCACGAGGCTGTCCGTAAGGGTGCGAGAGAGACAGAGCGATCCTCAAAATGGCTCGGCCGGATCGCCGTTTCTCACCAAAAAATTGGGCGCAACCCGCCGGGGCTACTCGGGGCGACACGGAGCGCGGCCTTGGCTGCCATGGCATTCCCCATTCTCACCGCGACATGACATCCTGGAATGTTTTCAACTTCATAAAAACCGTACGCCACCCAGCGGACAAAACGCGCTCACGCTCACACAGACAGACAGACAGACAGGACAGACACACAGAGAGGGACAGACAGAAAGACAAACACACAGACAGACACATAGACGGGGCAGACAGACAGACGGACGGACAGAACAGACAGACACAACGCCCATACAGGAAGGGAGGCAGAGATAGCGTGAAATAATCGCCACGCCGTGCCCCCTCTTTTTCCTTCTGCTAAGTTTTTGTTGATTCGCTTCCTTCGCCGCGATTCGGACACTAATTAATGCCGATTGCCGGATTGCCGGACGCCCCGAGAGGACAGGTATACCTGTATAGAAGGCGACTCGGGGTCCTCATCTCCGCGATTCGCAGCGATTGGCGGTGATAAGAAAAGCCGGCGCCTCGCGTGCCGGCCATTCCGGGGTCGCCGTTGACGAGTAAAAAACAACAACAAAAACACACAACACAGAGCGACGGGCGTACAGTAAACCAGCGAGTAACTCGTCCCCGCGCCCCCCGCGCCCCCGCAGGCGGAGTGCCCGTCCGGGCCATGTCCCATGGACGTCGCGGCGCGCTAATGGCCGTTTGGCAAAACGTGCTGCAAAGCGGCCAAAACTGTCGGCCCAGAGCCCCGTCGAAGGCCGGAGCCGTCCCCGCGACTGACGACGACGACCCCTAGGAAGACCCTGGCCTCGCCCCGCCCCGCCCCGCACAGTGGGCCACAAGACCGGTGGAGGCGGCCAAAACTCCTGGTGCGTTTTGAGCTCCAGAGTCGCTAAATGGGACTCGAACCGAACGTATGACCCCATCAATGGATTGCTCTCCGGACGAGGAGTCCATTGGTGGGGTCACACGTTCGGTTCGAGGCCTGTTAAGCGACTCTGGAGCTCAAAACGCGTCTAGAGTTTTGGCCGCCTCCACTGGTCTTCTGGCCCACTGTGCCCCGATGCGCTACCCCGTGCAGGTGCTACAGCAAGGCGTCACTGCTGGTCGGTCACTGCGCGCCCGCCGCCGCGCCGCCTTCTAAATATACAATTCACTTGCAGGCCGAGGCGATTCCGCGGACGGTGGTTTCGGTCGGTCCGCGCTCACGGGGCGAACCGCAAGGGAGCGAGAGAGACAGGCCGATCAAATTTAAGCGCCCCGCGCGTCACCGCCGCCAGGCTGCGCGGGCTGCGCCGCATTGTGAGCGGCGGCCACAATATTGTCGGCGCGCGACGCGGTGCGCGACGGCGATGACGACGATGACGATGCCGCACGCAGCGACACGCGGTCCGAAGTGCGCCATGTCCGTTGATGCATTTACGTTGCGATTGTTGTTATTATGGGGCTCAGAAGACGAGACCGGGTCAGGCCGGACGGGCCGGACCGGTTCATGCAAACATGTTGACCACTTGTAAAGTTTAGAGTGGCCGGCGTGCTCGCTGTGCTTGCTGGCCCTGCTATGCCGCCGGTCTCGTACCGTTGGGCTCGGCAGGCCGCTCGGCAGGCCAAGGCAGCCGCGGCGCGTGCGCCGATGACGCACGGGCGTATTTCTGCATATCACACGGTCATACACATGCGCCCGGCCAGACGTACAGCCGCAGACTGACAGACACAAACACACACACACACACACACCGCGCGCGGTGACATTGGGTACCGTTACGCCCGTGGTTGCCCCCTCCCCCCTTTCCACGCCGTCATACCGTCTTTAGAGGAAGGGGTGCGGCAAACAAGCCGACATCATGCACTCGGTAAAAAACACGGCGGCGGATGGAATCCCAGTTCTGCGTTAGAAGGCGCATTCCCGCGCATTCCGCACAGACACAACAGCGCCGGGAAAGGTGAGGGAATGGCAGTGCACTGTGAGCAGTTCGAACGGCGCGCGCGGATGTTGGTAGGAAAGGGTTGCCTACCCAGCCGCGTCATATCCGTCATGTCACTCCTCTCCCGCCTCGTCCCGATCACAACACAGACTTGTTGCGTCGCTGCGTGGCGTGGCGTGGCGGGGCGGCGCGGGGCGGGGCCGCGAATCGAATAAACAGAAACAGAACGAGTCTGGCGATAGGAAGCGGAGCGCTCGCAAAACAGTTTTCGGCCAAATCCTGAAAACACCAACAGCCGTCCGATTCCTCAGGATCGTATCGCGGCGCTGTCTCTGTCGCACCCGCGGGGCGTGCCCAGGCCGTGTCCAGGCCGTGCCCAGCACGCCGCGGGGGTGCGAGAGAGACGGAAGAGCCGCTCCACTGCTTTATCGTCGGCACCGCGTAGCCGCGTAGCCGTCCCCCCTCGTACTCCTCCGCCCGGTCCGCTCCCTATAATCTGTCCAAAGCATCAATATAAACGATTTGTTTGAAGCGCTGCCAGCTCGACCTGCGTCAATCCGCCAACAGAATTAAGGCGAGCACCATTTTAATGCCGCGGCCGTTCGTCGTACAGTAGACTCGCGATACGCATTAACATTCACATAGAAAACCGCGGATCGGAATGAACTGGCAGCGATGCGCCGACAAAGCCTCATTCAACTTGAACGCCATTCATTTCCGCCCCGCTGCCACTGGCTGCAACCCGCCAAGCAGTGCAGCACAGTCAAAGGGCCCGTCGGGCCCGAAGGGTCGAAGGCGACACTTACAGTGCAGGAACCCTCGGCCAATCGGCGAACGCGGACCGGGAGTCGCCGAGTCACTGGGACACAGCCGGGCACGGCGCGGGGCGGGCGGCGCTGCCAGGCAAGCCCGAGGCGAGGGCGAGCCCGAGGAGGAGCCCCAAAACACAAAGGACATTGAGGTTATGTCGCCCAGGCGCTCCCTGGCGTCTGGCTCCCTCCGCGGGGGAGGGCGTCCTGCGCGCGGCCTGGCGGGCGGCCCGCTGGCGCTGCTTACCAAAGGGCACGCCGCTTTGTCGCTTGGCGTCGCTGACACGTCGCTGACACGTCGCTGACACGTCGCTGACACGTCCCGGACGCCCAAAGGATGAAAGCGCGGACTTTGGCATGCAGGGGAGGCGCGAGGACGCGTCCAGTCCAAGGACCTCTGCGGCCTCAGAGGCACATCCTGGAAGCCTCGGCGCGAAGCACGCGGCACTCGGAAGTAAACACAGCGACTTTCGGCGGCCTCGGCCAGACGACCAACCTCACTTTAGCCCGCAAGCCGAAACCGAGCGGAGCGCAACGAAGCGAGCGCTTGCTTGACTGACTCAGCTGGCTGGGGGCAGCGAGGGGAGGGGGAGGGGTGCCTCGCGCGGGGTGGGGGAAGGACGCGCAGGATCCGTAACCCCTCTCCCCTCCCCTCTCACCCCTTTCGACCGGCCTCTTTCTCCGCTTTTCTTTCCTGTCCTTGTCGCACTTACGCCCCCTCGCGCGTTGAATGGGATGCCTGCTCGCCGGGCGGGTGGTGGATGGGTTGCCTGCTCGCCGGGCGTGTGTCTTGCAGTGTCGTATGGGTTGCCTGCCAGCCGGGCGGAGGCTGGCGGAGGGAAGCGCGGCACAGCAGGAGTTAGCAGGAGCGCACAGTGGGCCAGAAGACCGGTGGAGGCGGCCAAAACTCTAGACGTGTTTTGAGCTCCTGAGTCGCTAAATGGGACTCGACCCGAACGTGTGACCCCACCAATGGATTGCTCTCCGAACGAGGAATCCTTTGGTGGGGTCACGCATGCGGTTCGAGGCCTGCTTAGCGACTCTGGAGCTCACAACGCGTCTGGAGTTTTGGCCGCCTCCACCGGTCTTCTGGCCCACTGTGGAGCGGCCAGCCTCCTCAGGCTCATCAGGCCAACCTGCCCCCGAACAGTGTACAGAGCCATGGCCATGGCCGGCATGGCGCGGCCATGAGGAAGGCGTACAAGTGCTCCGACCAGGCCTAGACCAGGCCTCAGGCGGCAGTGCGGCAGAAAGGCAAGTGCCAAGGGGCATCCTGACTTTTCGGGGCTTTTCAGCCCAGCCGTTCCGAAGAGCGGCTTGTCGCTCGCTCTGTCTCCCTCGCAACCCCTACGGACAACCCCGTGAGTGCGAGAGAGACGGAGCCTGAATCGCTCGGCAGAACACCGCCAGTGTGGTGGCACTTCGATCGTACTCGTAGCCGCGTCGTGCTATGCAGAGTATGCCGTTGCAGCGTGAGCGCGCGAAGGGGGTGACACGCGGTGAGACACGGTGTGACACTGTGACGCCGAAACGTGACACGCGTGCAAGGGGCGAGGGGCTCGCCGCACGGGGCGGCGTGTCGTCGGAAAGGGAAAGGGGGGGGGGGCTGCATTCCCCGGGACGTTGCCTAGGCTAGATAAGATAAGGCACCCATGTCCGGCGTCACGTCGCCATGACGTCGCCTTGCTGGACTGGTGCGCCTCCTCCCCGCCTCCTTACGCCTCCGTTGACTCCATGGCATTGATTGCTTACTAGTTCCACCACGAGCAGCGATTGGACAAGAGCTGCCTCGTGATTTTGTTCAATCTGGTTCGGAAGAGCAAATTGGCTGGGTTCGCTGTTACCGCTGTTCGCCCGCCTCCGCGAGTGCACGGCAAGTGACGTGTCCCATTCATCGTTTGAATCAGCGCGTTTGGGTGGCGAGCCAGTGCTGCCAACTATTGGCGGGGAGATTCGGACTTTGAAATTTTGATTTACTTCCATTTGTATCAGGATAGAGCCGCGCTTTAAACACCTCTTTTCGGTCTTAAATATTCTTATTTCATAGAAAAACGTGAGGGGGAATAGTTTTATGCATTTCTTTATCGCTAATAAGTATGTTTACGTTCTGCAGTTTCCAGCTGATATTTGTGAACCACGACCATTTTGCGTTTTTGACTGCTTTATCGTGTGATCGAAATGGCAAAATCTAGTGATGATGAACAAGAATGGTTTGTATTGACTTCAGTTTGCTCTTATGTGGATAGCTGCACTCCTGCATGCGTGTAACAGAAAATGGCACTCGGTCGTCTGCTGGCCGTCTTCTGCTAACCCTCATAGTGGTGTCCCCAACCTGTCCAAATCCATCTGTGTTCTAGTTTGTATACAACTATGACATGGTCTCTCCCCAAAATCGAATGACCCTTCTCTAGTTCCAATGGATCACAGCCCATCATCTTAAATTATCCATCTCCCATCTCTAGCACATTGTAACAGATTTTTGTGTAGTCGCCAAATTATGCATAGTTGAAAACAGTGTATTTCATTTATTATTTGTGTCACCTTACTGTCTAAATTTTAAGTAAGCACTATTTTACTCGCCTAACGCTCATTCCGGGAATTTTCTTTTATTTCCAGGATGGATGACTTGGAGGCTTCATTACTTATGATCGATGCCCAAACATCTAGTGATGTTCTACGAATATGTAAAGGCAAGCCTATTAATGAAAGCCTTAGACCTCTTGCGTGGCAAAAATGTTTGGATGTCAGCCACAGTTCATATAATGCACCCTTAAGTGAGATTTTTGACTTACCAGAGCAAAAGCTTCTCCGTCATGATTGTCAACAGTTTGTTGGTATGCTAGACTCAAAATATTCTTTTTGTTTATCAATTTTCTGCATCTCAGTACAATGTCTTTACAATTATACTTGTTTTACTAGCAAAACTTGGCAATGAAGATGAGGACAAAGTGTCTGTTATGTCAGACCTTGAAACTATACTTACAACATACCGTAAAATTCGTAATATTAACTACGAGAGTGGCAATGGATGGCTTGAACTATTATTACCTTTGCTGGCACTCAAGAAACCTCAAAATGAAACTTATGCCTTGTTTACTGCCTTGAGGACTCAGTACATACCAAATGGATGTGCTCACAAAAGTGGCGATCCATTTCATCTTTTTAGATTGTTATTACTTTATCATGATCCTGAGCTCTGCTCATTTTTAGACACAAAAAAAATTACACCTGATTTATACTGTAGATCATGGGTAAGTTATTCAGCTCACACATTGTCATGTTGTTTCCATGTTATGGTTTAAATCACTCAATCTTCTTCCAGTTTCAGACATTATTTGCAGCAAATTGCAATTTAACTGTGGTGCAAGCTATGTGGGATGTCTACTTTCAACAGTCTGAACCATTTTATTTGTTCTTCTTGTCTCTGGTGATGATTATAAATGCCAAGTAAGTTCAATATATTTAAATTATTATCATAGTTAAGTTTTGAAAATTAGCCTAGTTTTACATAATGAATTGAGTGTTTTGTGCTGAATTAGATAATGTTGTGTTCCCAGGGAACAAATAATGGGCTTGGAAACTGGCAGCAGAGATGAATTGGTAGAAATGTTGACTAACATGCCCAGCCAACTTGAACATGATGATGTTCCAGACTTTTGCGGCTTAGCTCATTATTATGGACTAAAAACCCCTTCATCTTTTCGCAAAGTATGTGGATATTTTAAAGTGACTAATAATAATCTTGACCTACGCTCGCATGCAATGACCATTGTCTATTTTTCAGGATCTTCGCTACAAAATGTTTGGAGATGAAGGATTTCACAACTTTATGCACGAGGGTATTAAAAATAGTTCAAGCTCCATGACCCTTACATCACCAATGGATGAAAAAGACCCTTCTTTGCCTCAAGGCATATCTCAAGCCTTGTGCCTTCCAGTTTGTGCTGCTGAATTAGTAGACTCTGTTTCGTCCTCTGCATCAGGGGCTCCATTAACCAACCAAGAAAATGAACTTATTGTAGAGACTGTACGGTTCTTTCTAGTAGACTGTCGTCCAGCAGAGCAGTACAATTCTGGACATTTACCAACAGCTTTTCATCTGGATTCTAATTTGGTATGTGAATAAGTATCCTCTGTTAATAGTAGTTCTTAAACATGTTTTAAAAATTTAAAAAAAAAATCAACAAAAAACTAAGCTTCTGTAAACGTTTGACATTTCAGATGCTCCAGGAGCCTGCAGCCTTTGCCACTGCAGTGCAAGGGTTGTTAACAGCCCGGAGACAAGCGCAAGCTGCTGGCTCTGCTGCTGCAGGAGACCATTTATGTTTCTTAGGATCAGGTCGCAATGAGGAGGATCAATACACCCACATGGTTGTCTCTTCCTTCTTACAAAAACACACTCTTCATGTCAGCATGTTGACCGGTGGCTTTGAAGGCATGTACTTTTAGATTTTTTTTTCTTCTGTTAGATTCCCTTATGAAGTTTCTGAAGTTTTGGGGCCTTGCAACTTGGAGTGCACACTTTAAACATGAACTTTGTGATTCCAGCCATTCATGAATATTTAGGTGAAACTTTAAGCGAAAATCTTGAACACCATAATCTTAGTAGTTGTTTGGTCTGCAAGTCAAATTCGACTTCTCAGATAGAGTCACCTCCAGCTCAAACACCAACTGTGGACATCTTTAGCAAACTCAGGTATGGATTGAATCAATAAACTTTTAATATTCAAAAGTGAATAGATAATAATAGAGTAAAATTACGAAACACTTTGTCCCTGTGTAGTGCTGCAGTATCAAAATTAAAAACATCAGAAGTGAAAGGAAAATTGCTAGATTACATAGTCAACCCATCAGGAAGCTCTGCAAAACCACCAGTTGAAAGACATGTCCGAGCAAATGACAAATTGGGCCGCCGTTACCGAAATGTTGCTCCTGTCTTCAGTATTGATGATGATCAAGAATTTGGTAAGTTTTGTCTTGACTTAGATAAAATTTGAAATAAAATTTAAAATCCATTATGCTAATCATGATCTTTACTTTATTTCAGATTCAAGCAATGTCCCCGCTAATGATGATGAGGCTACTGATGAAGAGAGCAAGCGTGAAATTGTTAATATTAATCAATGGAGCAAAGAAAACAATGTGACAGCCACATTCCCATGTCAGGAATTTAAAGTTAACAACATGTTCTTTGACAGGTAGTGTGGCAATCTTTCATATGCTTAACATTGAATTCTTGCACTCAACATTACAGTTTCAATTTTAATGTTGCCTATTTTTATGAACTGTTTCAGTATCTTAGCACTATCCGAATCATTCATGTATGTGCTGCGGCTGGTTCCTGGACGTAAGGGCCATGCTCAAGTTGTAGCCAGAAGGTCCCTCTCATCAGTTGTGAAAATAACATCTCGGAGAAAGCACCCAAATATGATAACATTCAAGTATGGTGTATCCCAGGATGATGACCTTGTCATATCGGATATGGACAGGTAACTTATTACTACAGGTTGATTGACATTAGCCCTCATCAGAATCCCTGTTTGCACTTCATTGTAATTTTGGTTGCAGGTTATTGATTCCTAACTCAACTGAAGCCATGAAAACTGTGACCAAGCAAATAGTGAACTTCTTGAAAACTCAAGACGAGTAGTGCATATTTTCTGTGGATTCTAGCTCTTCCAACCCTTGTAAAGGCTGAAAAAATAATTTTATCTGCAGACCTTTTCTTTTCCAATTATAAGTTAATATCAGGAATGTCTTACGGAAACTTAAATCCACCCTTTAGTTGGAGTTCATTCATAGTCATATTATTCACTTTCATTTCCCACTTTAACAAAATGAAGCTACTTCAAAGTACATTTCCTTCTAAATATTGTATTTATTTCAAAACTGCTGGAATTTTTTTTAATCTTGCCGTATGTTGACCAGTAATGAAAGAATTTGAGCCATGAGGTACAGCATGTCAACACATCAGAAGTATGAAACCAACTCTTCATTTTTCCTGCTAAGCTGGCTGTGTATTATTTGTTTAATCACGGTTATGTATTCAAATTTCATAGAAATTAGCGAGAGTGTTTGGTCTTTACCCGAACATTTTGTCATTGGCTATTCCTGTTCTCATGTCATACATACCTCTCAATAATGTTAAGATTTTTTTTCATGTCATTTTTCTTTCTCATCACACTTAGCCATATCCTAGGGCTGTTCAATGAAATTTTATTTCAAGGCCTTGTTTGGAATACTTGGTATTATTGTTGTAGGTAATGTCTTGCAATTGGATTGATGGACGTTCTCCTCTTCTTTTTCTTTCATCTTTTCTTACTATAATTGTGAATCTGTAAACATAACTGTTTTTCTTGCCTGTTACAAGTTTGTTTCAGAATTTGTTATTTGTTTTTAAAAAAAGCGCAAGACTGGCTGACACTGATTCTAAGCTAGCTGTTTGAAGCCCAATGATGAATGTTAATGTTTCATGGTAAATATGTATTACAACAGGGCTTCTCTGCAGATTGATGACTGACGTATGTGTGTCCATTGTTGAAAGTTTTACAAGGTTTTGCTATCCATTGTTAAAAAAATTAGAGATAGATTGTTCTTCAATTCATCTTTTTGATTTTAAAGAGATGTATGATTGTTGAAAAGAAAAAATCCATAGCTGTAGTGGGTATACAGTTGTATGTATTCCTTAAGAAACATGCAACTAATATATTTTCCTATGACGCACTTAATCTCCCATTTGGCAGGCTGTGGTCTTCTGTTGAACCAACTCCACAGTGAGTCAACATTCTTGAATGAATTAGCCATTTTCATCAGGCCTTCTCTTCACAAATGTTGTGTTATCAACTAGTTCATTCGTTAGACTGAACATTGTAGTGCTTCTTTCGCCAGTGATACCCCACCAGTATCAGCACTCAGGGGCTTTAATTTACCAATGGATGCTTTTGCTGTGGAAGCCCTTTACTGCTATACAAATATTTCTTCTATTCCCTGTCTCTGGTCTTGAACTTAAGCAAGAAAGTGACTAGCTGTCAAACTAATATTAATTGTAAGATTAAAGAGTATTAATATGTAGAAATATTATTAATTAATATTATTATTGCTATTTATTTTAGTTATCGGAATGAATTCTTATGTATTTGTTGGACACATGAGTTAACCATGTGTGTTTATAGTTTTCCTTTTTATGAGATGACCCATCACAGTTTTTGAAAGTTTTTCATCGAATTTTAAGAAATAAAAACATCAACATAGGACACCCTCTCCATTTCCTAGGTCCAGTTCTATATTAGGTGTGTAACATCTTGCCTTGAAGATTCGCATTTACATGTTCTATTCACACAGATTTTGTCCTGGTGCTTCTTCCAGCCTATCACTATTGTTGCCAAGCACCTCTGCTAAATCAAAATGTTAACTCTATGCCGCCCATGCACTTAAAGATATACCTGTCTGCAACTCTTAGTCTATAGTGCAACTGTTATTTTGTATTTTGTGCCAGGTATTTGATTGAATGAGGTAACTGCGACCTTTTACATTTTTGTTTGTTTTGTCTATAAATTATTTCAAACCTGTTCAATTAATTTTTCTCTGGTACTGGAACAATCTAAATGCCAGAGTTGTTTTTAAAATCACTTAATGTTCTGTTATGTTGATTTCTGCATAGCAATGGGGAATGACTGATGCTTTGACTATGCACTGCACTGGCCGGAAATGTTTTATGCAGGCATTCATTGTTTCCAATTTGTTTGCTTTTACCAAAGAGTATTGGGATCCCTCGTCATTATCAGCGGTTTCTGTTACAATCGCGTTTCTATCTCCTTCCCAATCTCCCCCCCCCCCCCCGCTTGATTCGAAAGTAATGAATTCGGTGGATTTCCCCCCGCCGAGAAGGCAGTCTGACTTGGCCATTGTCTGGCAACACTCTCATTTATGTCCTGTCTTTGTACTTTGTACCTCGTTTGTTTCACAGTGAACGTTTTCCTGTAATCGCGGCTCGTGACTCATGTTTATGGCACAGCAGCGTGCTCGTGGTGGAGCACATGGCTGGCCAAATCCATTTGTTTTGCCGGGTGTGTTGTTTTGTATAGCATTTACCTGAATAAATGTGTAATTGTTCCTGGCTGTTGTTCTGTATTCGTGCCCTCCCTGCACCTTCTCTACCGTCTTGTCCTTCCACCCACAAAAATGGTACGGGATGCCCTGCCTCCCTGCCCTCCTCGGAACCATGAGTGCAGTGTACGTGCACTTGCGGGCCGCAAGTCCATTCACTTTATCTGACGTGGAGGAATAGAGAATATTCTCTATGTTTGTTGTGACAGGAAGTTTCACACCACTCTTGGTTGATTCGGGCTCGAGTCTCCCGCCAGTTCCTTCCCCCTCCCCCCCACTCTCGACTTCCTCTAGCCTCGCACAACCCGCCGCCGCCGACAGCGCTCCGACGTCGTCGAGCCGAAACATGGCGAAACGTCAGACACGACGGACAGACAGACAGCCAGCCAGCTGATGATTGCATTTGTCATGCCACTCTTGAAACTTCTTAATTCTTGACAACTGTGTTACCGCCATAAAACTTTTGTATAGGAAAGTATCAAGCATTCTGTTAAGTTTTCCCTGTGAAAATTTCAAAACATGACTGACGACTCTGCACTCAAGTATTCTCCCTTTTCATCTCATGTTGATCCTAGCTTTTGGCACAAGCTCTCTCAAATTAAACTGGATATTGACAAGTTAGATGAGAAAGTGCACCCTGTGTGGGGCTCTTATACGAATGTCAACACAGTTGGCTTGCCGTCTCTTCATGTGGACTGCACCTCTTACAACAGGTCCGAAACACTCTTGATATGTTTGGTTATTGGTTTGTAGCGTCAAAATTTCATATATATTATTTCATTCGCATAAATATGCTGGATTAGAAATTTTTTTACATTTTTATTTTACTTGTGATTTTATTTTTTTAATCATACCAGTGAGTGTTATTAACAACCTGTTTCTTTTTCATGATTCAGTAAATTTGAAGAACTGCGTTATCAACTTCCTGCATTTGGATGTCAGCTAAATCTGAATACCCTTGAATCCTACAAGAGTTCTGATAAGACAATTCTGTTGGAGAAACAGGGTGCAAGCTTGTGGGCGGACATAGCCAATGGCTCTGTCTTGAAAAACCCTGCATTACTGTCTCGTTTCTTCTTACTCACCTTCGGTGTATGAAAAGCTTTTCTTAAAACAATAATTTCTTTTGCATTCCTTTTAACACATTCACCCAGTTTTTTAAACTACTGTTGTTCCTTTTAATTTTTATTATAGGACTTGAAGAAGTACACCTTTTATTATTGGTTTGCCTTTTTGGCTCCAAGTACACCCAATGTTCAGATAATTAAACCTCCTGCACTGATAAGCACAATTTTCTCATCAGCTCAGGTACTTAGAACTTAAATTTAATTTAATTTAGACATATTTTATTTATTTTTTCAAAACAAAATGAGCTTTTCTTTTTTTAAGGTGGAAAGCTTGCAGTCTGAATGGAGCAATATAGTTGATGTCTATCAACGTAGCTATTTCATTGTCAAAATCCAAGGAGACCAAGCTAAAATTTTTCCTTTATCAGACATTGTTTCTATCTTCAAAGCACAGTGTAGGTTTCACTGATTTTTATTATTAATTTTTTTTCCAAGAATTTTTTCCTTTTTGACACTGAGTTGGTTTTTGCAGGTGAGGAGCAGTGGGCTGAATTTTACCTAGCATTTGCAGATCCTTGTTCTTCAGGGGATGCTCCTGGATGGCCTTTACGGAACCTTTTATGTGTTCTTGCTCATTATTGGTAAGAACCTCTATTGACCTTTTCTTTCAAGAGTGCAACAACTTTTTAAGTACATTATAAATTCCAATTTTATTGCAGCCCTCATGTTGTGGGGAAGAAAATAAATGTGCTCAGCTTGAGACTTGTTTTGAAATCTCATGGACAGGTCAATGCTGCTGATAAAAGTTTGCTCATGTCTGTGCAGCTTCTTCCCCATAATGAGACAGAATTAAAATGGGTTGGTTGGGAGCGTAATAATCGGGGCAAATTTGGTCCTCGATTTGTTGATGTTAGTGGAGATATGGACCCCAAAAAGTAAGTTTTCCTTTTTTTTGCATAAATCTTTAGGTGTGTTCATCCCTTCCTTAGTTCTAATTTTTATTTATTGATTTAAGGCGAGCAGAAAGTGCTGTTCACCTCAATTTGAAACTTATGAAGTGGCGCTTGTTGCCTGAAATGGATTTAGACACTGTGCAGAATACTCGATGCCTCCTCATGGGAGCAGGAACTCTTGGCTGTACTGTTGCCAGGCTCCTTATGGTAAATACCCAAGCTTTTTATGCACAAATGACCAATAGTTTTAATTTTTGTAATTTGCTGTAATTTTGTTTGTATTTCCTTCAGGGATGGGGAGTTCAGCACATCACCTTTGTTGACAATGGGACAGTATCCTTTTCCAACCCAGTGCGGCAATCACTTTTTACATTTGAAGACTGTCTCAGTGGGGGACGACCCAAAGCTGAAGCTGCTGCTGAAGCTCTGAAGCTGATTTTTCCAGGTGTGGTGAGTGAGATTTCGTACAGCTTTTAAAATTGAAGCATTTCAGTAGATGATAAATTTTGCTCAATATTATTCAGTTTTTTATTTTTTACTAAACTTTAATTTTTTTTTTCTGTTTTGCAGATCACCTCAGGTGTCACTTTGAACATTCCAATGCCAGGCCACCCCGTGGGTGATTCTATGTTGAAAGAAACCCAGGATGCTGTAGCCACATTAGAAAAACTAGTTGAAGATCACGATGTGGTATTCATGTTAACAGATTCAAGGGAAAGTCGTTGGCTTCCTACACTTCTTGCTGGTGCCAAAAAGAAGGTGAGGAAGAAGTTTCCTTATGCTGTCTTGTCAAGAGCTCGGCCAAAGCCATAGACGTGAATTACGTAACTTTTTTTTTTCAGCTTGCTATGAATGCTGCTCTTGGCTTTGATACTTATCTTGTGATGAGGCATGGTGTCTTCTGTGATGATGAAACCCCTCCGGATTTCAATGCCCGCAGTATTCCAGGAAGGCATTTGGGCTGCTACTTTTGTAATGATGTCACGGCTCCAGGGAATGTGAGTGGAACCATGGGCTACATACACAAGTTAAATTTATTATTATTAATGAAAATGATTGCTCAGACCGCAAATGTTTTTTCCCCCTGTTTCTCTTGTAGTCCATGGCTGACCGTACATTGGACCAGCAATGCACAGTTACGAGACCAGGGGTCTCCGCAGTGGCAGGTGCTCTAGTTGTGGAGCTTATGGTCTCTGTTCTCCAACACCCTTCTAAGTATGGTTTGCTTCAACTTTGTCAGCAATATTTTTCTTGAATTGTACTTGATCTATGCTTCCCTTGAATTTTAGGGGAGATGCACCTGCTGTTCTACATAAGAGTACAGGAAAGGAGGACCAAGAAAGTGTTGGTTGTTTATTGGGCACTGTGCCCCATTCTATCAGAGGATTCCTAGCATCTTGGGATCAGCTGACACCTGCCACTCACAGATTCTCAAACTGCATAGCTTGTTCTGAGAAGGTATGGATGGAAATAAAGAAGTGATTCACTTTGAAGATTATTCACCCTTTAGCGCACTGTATAGAGCGTACTTGAGCGCACTGCTTACAGTTCAATACTGATGGCAAATTTTATTTCCAGGTTCTGAAAGAGTACGCATCAAGAGGATTTGACTTCATTCGGGATGTACTGAACTCTGCTGTCTATCTGGAGGATTTGACTGGTCTCACATCATTACATAAAGAAACTGAAAATGCAGATGTAAGTAGCATTGCTGTAGATACCCTTAATTTTTAAACTACCTATATTTTTTTGTGCAACTTAATTTTGTTTTCCAGGTGTGGGAGTTTAGTGACTCCGAAGAAGAGGAAAACAATTCTGAGTAAACCGGCCCCCGCTGTCTCTTTTAATTTCTAACTCTTCAATACTCTTCAATATGAGTCCGAAGACAAAAAATCATCTTTGCCAAACTGCTCCTCTTCAGAGTCCTTGGACCCCACTCCTCTTGTCCTGTCATCATTTCCTTTTTATTTTGAATGCCTACTTTTTTTCTGATTATTATGGAAAAAATTATGAATAAAATAATCGTTGAGTTACTGGCTCATTTTTTACTCCCTCTATACGATCGTTTTCAAATTGCCTTTAAACGGTGAAAACCGCTGGTGAACCGGGACCCGGATGGGCAAGCTCAAATCCTGGCGCCTTACATTTTCGCCAACACTCCGCGTTGAAAACCCCAGTCAATAAACTTAAGTCAAGGGCTCATTCGATTAATAGTCAGTATTCTGTGAGTTCAATTACCATGGGAATATTTTGGAATCCAAAGATTCACGAGAGTGCATGGATAATTTCTTGGTCGATTTGAAACTCGATAGCCTACCAACATAATACTTTCAGCCAATCACGAGCAACATGAATCCAAAGTCGACTCCATGTAGCTGCACTCACCAATCCCGGCAGAGGAAGGCGAGAGGTAGCAGCGTGCTACTCAAAAGGGGCTATAGACAGTGCTAGCAAACACAAGCCGCGTCGTTTTCCGAGTTTTCTCAGAGAGAGAGCCACTGCCGTCGGCCGTAGACTCCATTCCTCTCATTCTTAACATTCCATAATGCCGAGGTTGAATACGATGTCAAACTCTTGTTTGTTAGCAGAAGAGTGTTGTGGAATTTGATAATTTTCTGGGTGAAATCTGTCGGTGTTTAGTTTTCCTATTCATTCCTTCCTTCTACTTGCCTGTACAAAACGTAAGTACATAAACACACAGCGGTAAGATGCATGGGACAATTTTATTGCTGTTAACGAATTTTGGGGGTTTCTCCTGGTGCGGAACGCGCGTGTTTTATGCCTACTGGCATTAATTACGGATAGCCCCAACCTACAATTACTTCCTCGCGTTCATTTTCATGAATCAATACGCTTTGCTTTCATGAAACAATTTTTAAATTCTCATCGTGTTACATCTGTGCACATAATTTTGGAGAAAAAAATTAACTCTGGTAAAACTTAAAATTTTTGATGAATTTTAACTGGGATCAGAGTTAGCGTAATCTATCCTTGCTGCTGTTTTGAACTTTATCCAGTGAACATTCCTCCACTTTTTATGAAAATCAATAAATTCATTTGCTCATGCTGACATTTTATTTTTTATAATTTTACTGGTTTAGTGTTCGTTTGTTTTTAAAGACTTTTAGAACTAATGTTTTGTTCCTTCAGTTCTGTTTTTGTCCTAAAGGTTTTTGTTATCCTCTGAGACATTGTTTCAAGTCCTTGTTCTTGTTGCTTTGCAGAGAGGGTGAGACGGCACCTCAACTTCCGCCATGGACGGTGTGGATTCTCCGTTAGAAGTACTGTCCTTAGCTGCCACTATGGTTCAAGGAAGCTGCCTGCCTCCTTCGTACGGTAAGTTTTTCAGTAACCATTGTTCCGAGTTGCGACAGTTGTCTCAATAACTTCTAACTAAAGACTACAGTTCAACTTTTTCGTTCATCGCATTGAAAATTATTTGACTGTATTTTAAACAAATGTTGACCATCTGTTAACATATCATTGTTGTTATTTTCTCATTCGTCAGTTTCAAATCAAAGAAATTTGTAAATAAGTCACCCATAAATCTTTTGATCTACCTAATCTGGTAAATATTTCTCAGATATATTATGCTGTTTCCTGAACCAGGAGCAGTTTGGGGGTTTACATGATTCAATGTTGGTTCATTAGTTGCCTCTATCTCGTGAAAATCTCACTGTGTCCCACGCCCAAAAATAGTCGAAATGAGCCCGGTTGAGAAGGCTAGGCCAGGCTGCATCCAGGTGTTTTGACGAGCAAGAAAGGTCTTCAATTTTGGGTTGGTTGGTTGAGGCTCCAGGAGCGTGGCTGTGCCGCGCCAGGCGGCTCGCGGCCCTGGCCACGGCTCCGGGGGAGTGAGAGAAAGCGAGAGTGAGGCGAGGGCGAGGCGAGGGGAGGCACGTCAGCCACCTTACGGTGTAGTACTTCTACTCAACCTTCGCCTTCGCCAGCCCCGTCCCGTCCGTCCAATAAACTGGGCCGATTTCGAGTGGAGTGGAGCCGTACTCGCTGCGGTCCCGAACAAAAACCGGAGAAGGGGAAGGGCGCTGGTGCGAGGGGGTTGCCGCCGCCGGCTGTGTGCGTTCGCGTAGGCCTCTAGTTGGAGGGGGTGCGGTGCAATGGGGGGAGGGAAAGGGGCAGGCCGGAGGGGGGGCGGGGCAGGCACACTGGCCCAGGAATTCGGACGGATCGGCGGAGCACAGCGGAGCGGGAGCAGGATGTCGGCTCGAGTGGAATGACATGTGGGGTGGACATCGGCGGATGCTGAACCGGTTTCCCGTCAAGCCTGGCTGGGATGGGATGGGATGGGACTCCCACGCGGACGCGGAGGGTCTCGGAGGGTCTCGGAGGGCACGGCGTGGCAGGGCGGAGGGCCGTGTCGTGCTGCGTGGCGTGCGGCGTGCTGGCGTGGCGTGCGCTGCCGGCCGCCCGGCCCGTGTAGGCCCGTGCCGTGGCACAAGCCCTGGGCGTGCGGTGCGCGGTGCGGCCAGGACGGCGCGAGGATATGGTTTTTGGCCGGGTATCGCGGCAATGCCGGTTGATGGAATGCGTCCATGGCCACCAGTCACGACGTACGAGCCGCGCCGGGCCGGGCCGCGATGGCCGCGATGTGCTCGTCTTCCCACAACCGCCGCGCCGCCCCGCGCCGCCCCGCGTCTCTGGCGCCCGCGCTGCCCGGGGTAGGCAAGCCCGCCCGACGCGCCTGCCGCACGGGGCGGCCCGCCCTCCGCTCTGCGGGCGTTTCCGCAGCGGCAGACTGATTCCGAGAGCCTTCCTCGTCGCTCTGTCTCTCTCGCAGTCATGGGACTTCTCGTAAAGGAGCGAGAGAGACGCAGCGAGGGAGCGCTTGCTGTTCCCGGGCGGCGGCGCACAGTGAGCCAGAGGACCGGTGGAGGCGGCCAAAATTCTAAACGCGTTTCGAGCTCCAAAGTCGCTTAGTGGAAATCGAACCGAACGTGTGACCCCACCAATGGATTGCTCCCCTAACGAGGAATCCATTGGTGGGGTCACTCGCTCGGTGCGAGTCCTGTTCAGCGGCTCTGGAGCTCAAAACGCGTCTAGAGTTTTGGCCGCCTCCACCGGTCTTCTGGCCCACTGTGCAGCGCTGCGGCGCCCGCCCACCCCGCTCTGCCACGCTCTGCTTGAGGGTGGTCCGCGCCACAGCCACGTCGGCGTGTCTCTGTCTCGCCCGGTGTCGTTCGGTGTCACCTTGGCGGCGTTGGCTGCATCATTTTTCATTTTTCCCGACCTGTCCGGCTTGCCGACTTGACGCGCCGTTTATAAATAAGCGAACACAAGTCGTATAGTTGCAACGCAACGTTTTTTGTTGTTTTTTTTGTGGCGCTTCGCTTCCGCGTGGCCGCGCCGCCCCCGCCTCGCCGCACAGTGGGCCAGAAGACCGGCGGAGGCGGCCAAAGCTCTAGACGCGTTTTGAGCTGCAGAGTCGCTAAATGAGACTCGAACCGAATGTGTGACCCCACCAATGGATTGCTCTCCGAACGTTTTAGTCCCACTTTTAGCGACTCTGAAGCTCGAAACTCGCGTCTAGAATTTTGGCCGCCTCCACCGGCCTTCTGGCCCACTGTGCGCCGACACGACGCGACCCGACCCGACGACGCGGTGGCGCGCGTGGCGTGGCGTGATTCACTTTCTGACAAGATAAACCGTTGTCTGCGCGCCGCTCGCTCACGCCGCGGAATCGGGAATCGGATGGGGGATTTTTGTGTTTCGCCGCAACAACACCTGGCAGTGGCCGGGGTTCGTTCGGGGAAGCGCGCGCGAACGCGCCAAGGTGTGCGTGCGTGTGTGTGAGAGAGAGAAGGGGGAGGGGGGCAGGGAGAGGGATGGAGTGGACAGCGGACATGTGTGTGTGTCTATGAGACTGTGCAACGAGGAATGCCAGACCATAAGCCGCGCGCGCGCTTGTGTGTGCGTGTGTGTGTGCACATGCTTGTAGTGTGCGTGAGTGTGTCACCAACGCACATTCCAAGCGCGCGGCGTGGTGATAGCAGTGCTTGATCGAATGTTGCCGTGACGCGGGGGGATGACACACGCGCACGTGGCGCACACACACACACACACACACACTCACACACAATCACGCCCGCCCCAACGGTACCCGCTCGGTGGTGCCCGGGGCTCGTCTTCCCGAGCTGGAGTGGCTGGAGTTTCGCGCATCTCCAGTCAGTCGCCCTGCCGGTCGGCCGCACAGTGGGCCAGAAGACCGGTGGAGCGGCCAAAATTCGAGACGCGTTTTGAGCTCCAGAGTCGCTAAGAGGGACACCAACCGAACGTGTGACCCCACCAATGGATTCCTCGTTCGGAGAGCAATCCATCGGTGGGGGTCACACTTTCGGTTCGAGTCCCATTTAGCGACTCTGCAGCTCAAAACGCGTCTATAGTTTTGGCCGCTCCGCCGGTCTTCTGGCCCACTGTGGGCCGGTCCGACGGTCCGGTCGTGCGTTGACATTGACACGGGGGAAGCCCCCTCGGGCCCCTTGGGGGCTGGGGTGCCGTCCTCTCCGCGACGTTGGGGGCTCTGCAGCCGAGCAATTCAAAAGATCGGTTTGTCGCTCTTTCTCTCTCGCACCCTTACGGAGAGGCCCACGAGTGCGACAGAGACGGCGCGACAAATCCCTCGGCCGCTCTGCATCGGGACGACGACGACGACATTCCAGCGGATAACGCTGCAGTGTCCACCGTGTCCACCCGCCCAGCTCACAAGAGTGCCTCTCTCTGTCTCTCTCGCACTCGTGAAGCGCTCCGTTGGGATGCGAGAGGGACAGAGCAGCGACGGAATGAAGTTGCTGGGCCGGCTAGAACATAAAGGAGCCTGGCTCTTGTTTTGAAACGTTTCTCCGGCTGCGCCTTGGGCTGCGCCCTCCTCCCTCTCCCCGCGGCACTGCCCCCTCTCTCTCGCTCTCGCTGAATGCATCCTCGGCCGTTATGAATGGGCGGCTGGCGTGCGCAGCGTGTGCAGGGCGTGTGGCGTGCACGCTAAATGAGCGCCGCACAGTGGGCCAGAAGACCGGTGGAGGCGGCCAAAACTCTAGACGCGTTTTGAGCTCCAGAGTCGCTAAATGGGACTCGAACCGAACGTGTGACCCCACCAATGGATTGCTCTCCGAACGAGGAATCCATTGGTGGGGTCACACGCTCGGTTCGAGTCCCATTTAGCGACTCTGGAGCTCAAAACGCGTCTAGAGTTTTGGCCGCCTCCACCGGTCTCCTGGTCCACTGTGCCGCGGTCGTGGCGGTTTGACTTTGGGGCGCGCTCTGGCCGCATCCGCTGAGCGAGCGATTCAGAAGAGCGGCTTGTCGTGCTGTCTCTCTCGCACCCTTACGGAGAGCTCGAGGAGTGCGACAGAGACAGAGCGACTCCCCTCGACTCTCTACCCGCTCCGAATCAGTCTGCTGCGGAGACCTGAGCGCCAAATGGCGTGGCGGCGGGACTCGAAGCATCGTGTGAAATATGTCGCGGCTTGCCGCTGGTGGGTTTTTGCCTTCGCGGTTTCGACCCCTCTCTCTCCGTCCTCCCCTCCCCCGGACGTCCGGCGGTCGCGCAGGTGTGCAGGGCCTTGGCCTTTGGGGCCACCCGGGCCGCCGGGCCTGGAGCCTCACAGTGCACGCGCCTCGAGCCGCGCCGCCCCGCGGAAGTGCGCGCAAGACGCGGACGAAGACGCGCCGCGCCACGCCGCCGCGGCGATGAATGAAAACAAATGAAGGCTCTGGCGCACGGCAGTCCGTTCGTCGCTCCGTCTCCCTCGCACCCCAGTGCAGAGCCCCGTGAGTGCGACAGAGACAGAGCGACGAAACGACTCTTCCGAATGGCCCGGCGGCAGGCACTCCATGACGCGAAGCCCGATGGCACGATGGCTCTATCCGCACGCGCGTGTTGCTATTCGCGTCACGCGGCGGGCAGGCAGGCAAGGCGCGCGCCACGTGCGGAGACGAGACGAGACGCGGAGGGACGGACGGGACGGCCACCTGGACGCCGTCGTCTTGTCGCGGTACCCGTTCGAACCGTCTCTCTCGCTCCCCACGCGGACGCGCCGACGAGTGCGAGAGAGACAGGGCGACGACGCGACTGCGACGCGGCCGGCGGCGGCCGGGGAATGCACTGCAGTGCCATGGCAGTGTAGTGACGGAAGCGGCGACGCGATGCAAGGCGGTGTCCAGGCGTCACACCGCGGCCCAATCCGCTCCTGGGAGTCCCCTACCCTGAATCGACAGGCTTTATGTTACAGTGGTGTCAACCTTCGCCTTGGTGGCGCTGCGATTCTGATTTGATGGGGTGCCGTGGGACGCTCCTCGAGGAGAGGCGGGGTACTTCGCGCTGCGCTAGGCCTCCAGGCCTTGCTCCAGGCTCGTTGCTGGTTGCTTGCTGGTTGCTTGCTGGACACGGTTCGGAGCTCGTTAGCTTCCGCGTTAGCTTGCTTGCTTGGCAGCGTGGCGCTCTGGTTCGCGTGCTCGCGGGACGCCTAGGGACCAGCAGGGACGCCCCCTCGCCCCCTTGGAATGGCTCGGCGACTTGCATGCGCTCCTCCACCTACCCCCCCCCCCCCCCCCCCCCGTACGCACCGACATACCCGCCGGCGGCGCGAGCCCCACCCCGCCTCCCCCCGCCCCGCCACAGCACTTCTCAATGGAATCCCGGCCACCAAGGAATTTTATCTTCCCGCCCGAGCGGCGATGCGGCGGTGCGCGGCCCGGCGGTGGACCAGATCCCCCTCCCCTCCCCTGCCGCCGCCTGCCGCCCTCTCTCCTCGCGTGCCCCCTTCCCTCTTCGCCTTTCTTTTCCCCTTCCCCGTTCCGCCTCATCGCTGTCTCTCTCGCTCCTATACGGAACGCCCCATGAGTGCGAGGGAGACAGAGTGACTCTCGGAATCGGTCTGCTGTGAGGGGACCATCGCGACCCACGCCGCCGAGGGGACCGCGCCTCAACAGTTTCATTTGAGCTCATGAAGCGTCTAAATGTTTTCGTTTCGTTAGAGGGGATCACTTGCGGTTCAGACGACTGGCCTCGGGTTTGGCTGCAAGTTGGCAGCCAATGGCGACCTCGTGGACCAGCTGTGGGTTTGGCTGTGGGTTCGGCTCCTGTCTAGCTGTGGGTTTGACTGCGCGGTGGCAGCCAATGGCGACGTCGAGGACCGGCTGCGGGTTTGGCTGCGGCTTAGCCCCACGGACCGGCAGGCGGGGGCCGCCGTGATGTAATGAATGATGTCACGTGAAAGGTGTCGATGCGTGGCGCGGCGCGGCGCGGCCTGCACGGAAAAAAATCCCTTAGTTGTGACAGCTAATGCATTGGCTGATATGGGGCCAGCCAAGAATCAGCAGTCGTGGTAACTAAAAATATTGCTAGCAGCATCAGCAATCATGCCTGGTCGCGACAGCCAACCACATTTGTTGTGCTAGCTAATAAACGCTAATAAATTTTTTACTCTCCGAAAAATACTGAGACGGGAATAGAACCCGGGACTACTGGCTGAGAACCGTGCTCGGAGGCACTGAGCCACGGAAGCACATGTTTGTGTCGTATGGCCTGCCCCAATGTCACTCCGGGTGGAGGGCCGAAAAAAATACTTCGCAACTTTGATCGCAGTTGAAGTAAAGCTTTGAGGGACTGCATGATTTGCGCGTGCAGCTAACCCCATTAGTTGTCTCAGCCAAGAACCCCACGCTGGATCAGTAAACGTGGGAGTGGCTCTCACGGCAAACACTATCAGTTGCGGTAGCAAAAGCATCATGGTTTTCATAGCTGAACCTCCTACTGTCTGCCTTAGCTAATTTAAAATTTGTAGCCACGGCAATGAGGGTTATGTTTTATAGCTAAGATAATGACTGCGGTAGCTGAGAACATTAGCTGGCGCCATATCAGCTAACACATTAGCTGTCACAACGAATGCTCAGCTGTAACAACTAAGATATTTTTTTCCGTGTGGAGGCGCCGCATTCCGTGCCGTGCCGTGCCGTGCCGTGCCGTGCCGTGCCGTGCCGACGCGCGGCTCATTTCCTTGCGATGACGCGACACTGCGCCGTTTTGAAACAATACATACGTCGCGCTGCGCTCGGCTGCGCTTAGCACTGCTGCATGGACAGTGCTGAGCACTGCTCGCTCTATACGTAGTACTCCGCGCTGCCGCAGACCAATTCCGAGAGTCGCGGCGTCGTCGCTCCGTCTCTCTCGCACTCATGAGCCGTCCCGTGTGGGTGCGAGAGAGACGGAGCGACGAGAACGACTCTCGGAACGAGTCTACTGCAGTCGGGCATTCCGGAGATGCCACGGTGAACGCCGCCACGCCGCCGCGACGAGTGTCGTGTCGTGCCAGCGAGCGTGCGCCGTGCACGCCATGCACGCCATGCAGGCCTTGCATCACGTGTCGTGTCAGCTTGTCGGCTCAGCTCGCCCTCTGCAGCCGGATCAGCCGGTTTATGACCTTCCACTCGGCATCATCAGCGGGGCCCTTGCCTCTCCGCCGCTACCCGTTTTCGTGCCGGGGGGGGGGGCGTCTCCATTTCCTGCCCGGACGCTTAGCTCGCCCGCTTGCCCGCGTCCATCGACCCTCCCATTCAAGAAATGCCGTCCGACCCGCAGGACCGTCAGGACCTGCAGCCGCACAGTGGGCCAGAAGACCGTTGGAGGCGGCCAAAACTCGAGACGCGTTTCGAGCTCCAGAGTCGCTAAATGGGACTCGAAACGAACGTGTGACCCCACCAATGGATTGCTCTCCGAACGAGGAGGGGGGGTCACACGTTCGATTCGAGTCCTATTCAGCGACTCTGGAGCTCAAAACGCGTCTCGAGTTTCGGCCGTCTCCACCGGTCGTCTGGCCCACTGTGCCTCGCTCCGTCTCTCTCGCACCCCGACGCGACGCCCGCGCAGTGCGAGAGGGACGGAGCGACGAGACGATCCCTCAGGGCCGGCCGCCGGGAGTCCTTCGCCGTGCTGGCCGTGCCGGGTGCCTGGCGGTCGGCGCGGAGGCCGCTGGACGCGAGGCTGGACGCTGCTGGACCGCGAGCCGTATGCAGTGTAGTGTACGGCTGTGGGGCTGCGGCATTCCGCAGTGTGGTGCGCGGTGCTGGCGTCGGCGGCGACCTCGAAGTGCCTGGAGTGCCTGGGAGAGCCCCGGAGGCGGTGACCGGCCAGGTCATTCGCCGTGCCGCACTGCCGCCGTACCGCCGTGCCGCCGTGCCGCGTCCCTGGAGGCTCATTTGGAGCACTGCTGTCTCTCTCGCACCCGTGGGCCGTCCCTCGTGGTTGCGAGAGAGACAGAGTGTCTACACTCCAAATCCAGGGTGTCTAGAAACTATACGCCTTAGGCGTATGCCACAGAAATGGAACTGCCTTAAGGCGCCTTGATTCTACACGCCAAAGGCGTATACCCCATTGAGCACCTTTTGCAGATAGAAGTTAGCATGTGAGCACCATTGGTCGAAGTAAAGGTGCGTGCATTGTACACACCCTGGATCATAGGCACTGAGCTCAACAGGACTCAAGGTGCGTAGAATGTAAACACCCTTTAAGGCCTCGGTAGGCATGGCCTCGGCCAAGGGCGGTGTTTGCATTCAACGCACCTAGAGTCCTGTTGAGCTCAGTGCCTATGATCCAGGGTGTGTACAATGCACGCACCTTTCCTTCGACCAATGGTGCTCACATGCTAACTTCTATCTGCAAAAGGTGCTCAATGGGGTATACGCCTTTGGCGTGTAGAATCAAGGCGCCTTAAGGCAGTTCCATTTCTGTGGCATACGCCTAAGGCGTATAGTTTCTAGACACCCTGGATTTGGAGTGTAGCAGTGCCGTGCGCTTGTTTCCCTCTGCGTCTCCTCGTGCACGACTGCCGCCAGGAAGCAGGCCAGGCCAAGGGCCAGGTAGGGGGCGCGCCCCGCGGGGCGGCGGGTCTGTTTTCGGAACTCTTTTCAATCGAGTGGTCCCAATATGCGCCTTGTTGGTGTCACATCTTTCGGGGAGTGGTCCGCGCTGCAGCACTCCGAGACGGTCCTCTTCGCGATGCGCGCCGCCCCGCACCCGTCCGACCACTGCAGGAATGCCTACAATGCGGCTGCCCCCGGCGGGGCGGGGCGGGGCGAGGGGCGGGGCGAGGGGCGGGGAGGCCTCTAAGCGATGCGATGCGCCCCGCCACGCCCCGCCACTACGCCTTTGGCCCCGCGTGCCGTGTGCCGTGGCTCGCAGTGGCGTGGCGGCTCGTACTGCCCCCGGCCCGGCTGCCCCGCAGCGCCCCGCAGCCGCAGCTCCGCCCGTTCGCTTCACTTCACTTGGTTTCGTTTGGTCGGTTCGGTTGGGTTCAGTACGCCGGACGCCGGCACCCCGAACGCATCGCTCGCCGCCGCGCCCCGCCGAGTCGCCGCCCGCCCCGCCGCGCGTCTTGAGTGCGCCCCGAGTCCGTTGGCGCGTGCCAGTGTAGTAGTGTGCCAGACTGTGCGTGCGTGCATCATGTGCGTGGGCGGCGTTCTGTGCAACTGGAGGCTTACCGGCTGCATCTTGTGGCAGCCCTGGCTGGACCGCCTGGACGAGGAAGGTACGCGTCGTGCCAACGCCGTTCGACGCCGCGCCCTTGGCCGTGCCTGGCCGAGCCGCGGACTGACTGCAGTCTGTCTCGGTCGCACGCGCACCCCCTCACCGTGGCACAGTGGGCCAGAAGACCGGTGGAGGCGGTCGGAACCACGGACGCGTTTTCAGCTCCAGAGTCACTATGGGACTCCACCAATGTACTTATTCCTCTTGCGGAGAGCCATCCATTGGTGGGGTCACACGTTCGGTTCGAGTCCCGTTCAGCGGACTCTGGAGCTCAAAACGCGTCTAGAGTCTAGAGTTTTAGCCGCCTGCGCTGGTCTTCTGGCCCACTGTGCGCGGCCTTGTCAGTTGGTTTCTTCGTTGTTCCTGCGTGTTACTGGACGTGGCTGGACGCGGTCGCTGACGTGCTTTTTCTCCTTGTCTGTTGCAGAGGAGGCCCGCAAGGCCCTGCCGTCGGTGCGGTGGAGGCGCGACCGGCGCGCCAGGGACGCCCTGCCCGACTACGCCACGGCCAGCCAGACCGCCCAGGCCAGGTGAGGGAAGCGAGTGTTCTTCGTGTGCATCCACACTGGTAAACCTATGGCGTATCACGGCGCTTCAAGAAGCGTGGAAGTTCTTGAAGCGTGCTGAGGCAACTTCCCCATCCCCCATGCATTTAGACAGGAGGGAGGGATAGGGATGGTTACGCCCCTTTACGAGCGTAAAGCGACAGTCCACTTGAAGTGAGGTGTAACGTTGCCTCGAACGATGCGCTTTAGTTTTGCCCGTGTTGAACCTTGAGAAGGAACTGCGGAGACTTGAACCCGCGACCTTGGACCTTGTCGCTCAAGGCTGAACTGTTTTGTTTTTGGCGCGCAGGGAGTGCCAAGGCCAAGGAGGCGCGGACGGCCCGCTGGACATGTCCACCCGCAGCCGCCAGTCCCCGCGCAACGCGGAGCGGGCGGAGCGTACCCGCACGGCCACGGCGGCCAGGGCCAAGGGCCTGAAGGGCGCCCTGGCAGCCCCCGCCGCCCCCGCCACCCCCGCCACGCCCCCACCGGGACGAGGATCGCCGCCCTCCTACTCGGAGGCCATCTCCAAGCCCGGATACCGCCTCTCCGTACCCCTGGCCAGGTGAGTCGAGGTGTCTACTTCCACTCTGCTCCCACAATAGGACTCTACACCCCAGTGCGCTGGTGTGGTAAATTCTGTCCATCTCTGTACTTCAACCTTTCTTAATGTCTGTTTCAGACCATCAGTTATTACATGCGCGCCCTCAAGCCCAACACTGACAAAGGACTCGGAGAAGTCGGAAAAATGTTTGAGTGACTCAACGTTAGAAGCTGGTTAGTATGGATTTGCTAGGATCATGGAATGCCTGCTGTTTCTTAACATTGCATTAATCTTTTGAAACATGATTTTTGCAGGGGATGGAATGTGTGATCCAGTCATTGATGAACACTTCCGAAGGTCTCTTGGCAAAGACTACCTCACCCTCTTTGCAAAGAAAACTTCGTCTTCCAAAGCCGGTAACGACAAAGAAAAGAGTGACAGCAACGGGCTCTCCATAACTGGATTATCGGGTGTGTGCTAATCTTAATTATTCAATATTGCTGTTTTGCACTTGAGATGTGTAGCAAGCAGAAATTCACAACATGTTTTCATTTTTTCTACAGTTGATGATCACTTTGCCAAAGCATTAGGAGACACCTGGCTGAAACTTCAGGCAGAATCATCAGCACCATCTCGAACCATCCCCACTGTTCCTTCAAAGTCAACACCAAAATCTAAAGAAGCTTCCAATACCACCATTCCTAGACCGAGGCAAGGACTTGTTACCATTTAAACTGATCAGTTTCTGTTGCTTTTTAAACTTAATTACGTATTCTTTGTTTCGATAATGCTGTGGTGCTGTGTTGAGAACATCATCTGCAACATGCGCATGTTCTTCTGTTAATTAAGGTTTTAGCAATTACTTGAACCTCAGTGGTACACACCATTTTTCAGTTTGATAAATCATGGGATCGGCTTGTTTTTCACTTGTGTGGAAGGAATTGAAAGCATTTTGCTTTAGACTGCAACACTTGAAGTTCTTTGCTCTCAATCAGAAAGGTGTTTGTCATGGTGTTAGTCAGAGTGCTGCATACTCGTAGTTTTGTGGCGGTAGCAATAATGTCAAGGAAGTGTAACATTCCTTACCGTACTGATAAGGTCGTAGGCATAATATTTGAGGAAAATAGCTGAAAAATTGTTTGAGGTGAGCCTAAATTAGTTGCAGTTGTAATCTTATACAATTTCTTTTAAAATTGTAAATAAGGCAACTAAGGTTTTATTTTTTGGGACTTAGTTCACATGTCCAGTAAATCTTGTTTTTTTATAGCCCTATGCACTGGTGTTGGAAAATATTCTTCATTATTTCCAAAGTTTCTTTGCTGTTGACCCTCTGATGGGAATGTCTAGTTGTATTGCATCAAGTCTTCAATTTCTGTCCCCTTGTTAATCTCCCCCTTCTCTTTTGTGTAGGTAATATTTTTTTTAAATTACTATTTATGTTAGTGAGTTGAGAAAGTTCCTCTTGTGCTTTTTTTGTTTGTTCTACTAGTTTGTAAATATTTTTATTGTTTCTCCCAGAGAGAGTGTTTTTTGTGTAATAAGACTGTTTCTTTTCTCCTCTTCTTTGTTATTGCTCTCCAAAATTATGTATATCTATGTGTGATTATTTTCTCTCTCTCCTCCCTTTTTTTCGCTATGAAATAATCCAGATGGATTAGCTTCTTTCTTCTGTACCAGTGATTTTAGAGCAAATAACAGTATCATTGTGTCGTGACGTCATGGTTGTGAGATATTCAGGAATCAAACATGCAAATCAAAGTATTTTCATGCCATTTTGTTCCTCTCCTTTTATTATTACATGATGTGACCATTATTTTTGGTAGGTATCTTATGTTCCTGTTGTTAACAGACTGAGACAATTAGGAATTACTTTTAACACATTGAAATGAAATGATACACTCATGATAAAGATAGTTATTTAAAAATGAGTTCTGTTGAAGAATGCTCCCACTAAAACTTTTTTGGGGAATGTCCTCCTAGCATTTGTAGGTATTTTTTTTTTTAAGTTATGTTGGGCCCAAATTTATAGGCAAAACCCCTTTGTTTGCCTGTACTATTATTTATTTACTTACAAATTAACTGTGTACCTTTTTATATAAAGTAATAGAAGATTCAGATGTTCAATATTGTACCAAATCATGAAGTTACAGGTGTGACAATCTACTGTATTTTATTTGTTATTGCAATTACTGTATGTAAACTTAATGCAATTAAGCGGACTCACTTTTCTTCTGTACCTATCTATAGTACACAAACTCAAAATAATACGTGAAATTTATTAATGCACCTGGGTTCATGGAGCCGTTTTAATTTCTCTCCAATTTTACCTTTGGGGTACCCTTTCTAAGTTATTGTACTGGTTGTGGCCACAATTTTGTATCATGACTCATTGTTTTTGGGAAAGCAATAAATAGATGATACATTACTCAGGTTTTAGCTCCATAATAAATTCAAATTAAACTAAACCAATGTCTCTACATTATTTTCCTGTTTTCCCTTTGCACACCATCTAGAGAAAAGATCTCACCGACTATGCAACGCAACCCGACGTTGACTGGACAACTTACCAAACACCAACACCTTGGCCGATGACTTGAGCTCTGCAGGGGTGGTCCAGGGTAGTCCAAGGTGGCCGCCAGACTGGTGCTGCTCACTCGGGGTCGGACAGACTCGACAAAGAACTGATTTCAAATGGTGCTAGAGTATTTCGTTCATTCCTCTGCCCACCGCTTTGAAACCAGTACCCAGTGAGGTCCGCTGGGCTACGCTGGGCCGGGCTGGGGTTGTCTCTTGTCTCGGTGCGCCGTGAGAGTAGGCAGCTCTTCAGCCACCTCTTGCTGGGCGCGGGAGGCGAGGGGGCCTTGGTGTTGGCGTTGGCGGCGCAGTGCTGGGACTACCCCGGGACTGCTAGGAATGGGACACGATATGCAAAGGGTGGTCTTCACCGAACCGGAAGACTGTCACACAAGAAGGCAAAATTTCCCACTGAACGCACCGGTCGAAAATGTGGCCAAGCCAACCTCAGCCCGCCAGCTAGGCAATGCCCTCGGCTTCGCTGTCTCTGCCTCTCCTCGCGGTTTCAAGAGCGAGTCACCTTTCTCATCCCTGTAGGCTGATTCCGAGCTCTGCTCTCGGCGCTCTGTCTCTCTCGCACTGATACGGCGTCTGGGCCGGAAGACCGGTGTATAGGCGGCCACAAATCCAGACGCGTTTTGAGCTCCAGAGACGCTAAATTGGGCTCGAACCGAACGTGTGACCCTACCAATGGATTGCTTTCCGAGCGAGTAATCCATTGGTGGGGTCACACACTCGGTTTGAGTCCTGTTTAGCAACTCTGGATATCAAGAGGCGTCGAGAGTTTTGGCCGCCTCCACCGGTCTTCTGGTCCACTGTGAGTCTGGAGGCTGCAGGTGCGCGCGTACGGCAGTTCTGGACGCAGCCATCCGGTGCGACTGCATGGCCGCGGCGTCTCACAGTGTGTCTCACGGCACGCGGCCGGCCACCCTGCCGCTTCATGCCGAAGGACCGCTCTGTCTCTCTCGCACTCAGGGGCGTCCCGTGGGCCCGTGGGGGTGTGACCGCAGACAGAGCGACGAAACGATCCTTCGGCACCACAGGCGGCATGCATCGGCGTGCATTCAACAACACTGGGGCTCGCTGCGCGTCGCTGCGTTGCCGCAGTGGCGCCGGTGGTTGCCTGCCGACAGGCTGAGCGTATGCAACCCGCAAGGCACGGCTGCTTCGCGTTGCCTACCTTGCTGGTTCGCAGGCTGTACACTGCGATCGCGGTCCTCCGTCGGGGCGGCGCTGTGCAGGGCTTGGTGCAGGGCTTGGTGCAGGGCCTCCAGGGCCTCGTCCAGGGTCCATGGGTGACTGCGGAGGGCTCCCCGTCGCCGACACACTCACTGTCCAAACGCGGCGACGTATGTCCTTCGGAGAGGCACGACGGCCGCTTAAATGTCGCACACCCCGCAAGCCGCAGGCCCCGCAGGCCCCGCAGGCCCCGCAGGCCCCGCAGGCCCCGCAGGCCCCGCAGGCCCCGCAGGCCCCGCAGGCAGCCACAGCCCTGCCGGCCGGCCGGCCCGCCCGACTGCCCGCAGGGCCCGCAGGGAAGGGAAGGGGTGGAGGGGGAGGGACACGCGCTACGCCTCGGGCTAACACTAAGCACCCGTTTAGACGAATCCGCGTGGCCGGCGGGCCCGGCACGGCAGGTCCGGTAGCGTGGCGGTGTGGCGCGACCAGCGCGACCAGCGCGACCCGGCACCCGGCGCTAGGGTTACCGACATGCACTGCTGGGCTCCTTCAAGGAGTGCAGCCGGGTGCAGCCGCGTGCACCGCCGGGGAGGGTGCGTCCGAGAGCGCCAGAGTCCGAGTCCGGAGAGGGCAGGGCACAGTGGGCCAGAAGACCGGTGGAGGCGGTCAAAATTCTAGACCCGTTTTGACCTCCAGAGTGGCTAAACGGGTCTCGAATCGAACGTGTGATCCCACCAATGGATTCCTCGTTCAGAGAGCAATCCATTGGTGGGATCACACCTTCGGTTCTAGTCCCATCTGGTGTCTCGGGAGCTCAAAACGCGTCTAGAATTTTGTCCGCTTCCACCTCCACCGGTCTTCTGGCAAGTCCACTGCGCAGGGCCTGTAGGGCTCTGGAGCCGCGAGGCGCAGGGCGCAGGGCGCGGGGCAGTCAACAGCCTCCACGAGGAGGTTGCTCTTAGACCCTTGACAGCGGCCAAAGGGATGATGCGCAGTGCAAGCACGATGGATAACCCCGCGCTTTGGCGTGACACACGAGAAGTCCGGTACAGGTAAATAACAGTAATCACATTCGACACGCTTTTTGTCGTTTTCTGCTAAAGATTTTGTTACTTTTTCTCTTGTGAGTAGGTACACTGTATGGCTCCGTGTACGTGTGTACTCTTGCTGACAAAAATGGCCGTATTGCTTATCTGTCAGGGTCCGGCTGCTGAGCCTGGCCACCCTTTCCACACCAGAGAATTTTTGCTAACTGTGGCAGCACTGGTCCCACCGCCAAGACGGCCGAATTCAGGACGGCTAGCCGCCTGCTTGCTGAATGCTGACGCCCCTCTCGGCACCGCCTGGGCGCCGCCTGGGCGCCGCGTCCGCCGAACGCAGCCACAAGCCACCACAGGCAGTCAGAGGTGGTAAGGTGACACGACAGGCCAACGGGCCGAACAGGTTGCCCACACTGCGAAACACTGCAGCGACGTGAGGTAGGCCACCCTGCTCGACAGCGCTGCGCGACGGCTGGCGACGGCCTCTGCCGCGGCTGGCCTCTGCCACAGCTGGCCTTTGCCACGGCACGGCTGGCCTCGGCCACGGCTGGCTACGGCCTGTCCTGTCGTCCCGGCTGCACCGTCACCGCCTCAGGAAGCGTGCGACATCCGATCCTGAGACGGGACGGGCCCCGCTGGTCCCGCCGGCCTCACCGGCCTCGCTCGCCGTCCCCTTGAAGGCCCAGATCAGGGCCTATAGCTACTCAGGGCACAGTTGACCGGTCGTACCTCGTATCGGGTGTCGCCCTGCCCTGCCCTGCCCGTCGGCGTACCTGCCTGCGAGGCCTGCGAAGCGAGGCCTGCGAGGCGAGGCCTGCGAGGCCAGCTCCGCCGCACGGTCGTTCAACTGTTGTGGCGCTGTCGCTGTCACGCTCTTGCCGAAATCCGCCGCGACTTTTTGCAAAAATTATGGACACGCCGAGCATGCGGGCGTCCTGGGGACATGCCGGCCCGGGCGGCGACGGCTCCTGCAGCGCCTCGTCGACGTCGTCGGCGTCCTCGCGACCCCCGGCGGCTGCACGTTCGGCTCCGCCGTGCTCCGCCGCCGGCGCGCTGCTGCAGGTTATGCAATCCGCACGCTGGCCATGCTGGCCCAGACCGTGCTGGCCCGGCCGCCACACACGGGTCCCTTTCATGCAGTGGCGTGCCGTGGCGTGCCCCGCACGCATTGTCCCAGAACAAAGACGCCACTAGCGTTCGCTGCGCTGGGCTGCGCTGGGCTGCTGCGGCGCGGTAGGGTTGCATCCGGGCTGGAGCTGGAGCCGGAGTCCTCCTGGAAGCTTCCTGGAGTCTCCCCGGTGCCATGCTGGGCGGAAATCGGTTTTCGTTGCTGAAGCGCCCTGCGCGGAGTCTGCGATCACGTTGGAGTTGTGATGAGGAGTGTGAAGTATCCCTTCGCTGGAGTCGAGCTGGAGTGTTGCTGCTGGAGCATCGCCGGACTCTCACTGTGCTGCCGTCACGATTTCCATCCCGTTGGAGTTGGATGAGTCTTGCCTGCAGTCAGTACCATTTCTTTGCGCCAGCTGGAGTCACTTCACTTTTGTCTATTTGACGTCGCCCTGCACTGCGTCCTCGTGAGCGCATCCAACCACAAATTAATCCTTGCCCGCCGTCACGTTGGTCCGCCACGTTCGACGGAAACGACAACGTTCCGCCACGTTCCGTCACGCTGCACCACGTTCTCTCACGTTACGCGCGTTTCCGCCCCCAGCGCCCCCAGCGCCCCCTTCGGTCCACCGGGTTCACACTCCACGACACACCCTCTCCTCTCCGCGTCGTCTCGTCGCGTAACGCTTCGCGCCAAACGCATCGCGTCGTCGCGTCCCGTCGCGTCTCGCCCGTCGACCGGAGCGGAGCGGAACGACCCGTCGGCGTGCTGCCGTGCCGTGGCCGTGGTCGCGTCTGAGCCGTGGCCGACAAGCCGTGGCCGCCGTCGCCGGGCAAGGCGACAAGGGAGACTGATGAAGTGAACCGAGGGAGGAAGGGAAGGCCCCTCTCCCCCCCCCCCTCCCCCTCGCAACGCAGCGCTCCGCTCACTCCGCTCACTCGCCACCAGCACGGCTGGCACGGCGCTACCCCTGCCACCGCGCCATCCCCCGCACCCCCACCACCGGCACCTGCCCCTGGATGACGACCAGCAGGACCAGGATAAGGACACCCCCATGCTTCCGACGCCAGTTTTCGGACAAAGATGGGTCCTGGAGGTTATGATTAGAGTCCTCTAGTACTGGAGGTCGTGGTCCTGGAGCAAATGGTCCCTGAGCTCATGGTCCTGGGAGCCCATGGTCCTGAAGTTCGTGGTTCTGGAGTTCATGGTCCTGGAGTTCATGGTCCTGGAGCTCATGGTCCTGGAGCTCATGGTCCTGGAGCTCATAGTCCTGGAACTCATGGTCCTGGAGCTCATAGTCCTGGAGCTCATGGTCCACGAAGTCATGGTCCTGGAGCACATGGTCCTGGAGCCCTGGTCCTGGAGCCATCGCGCACACAGGTTCGTTCGGCCCGGACGACCGCAGCCGGTGGGAGGCCGCCGTCGAAGTCCTCCGGTCGGGCGGCGGGGACGTCCGAGTGAGTATCAGTCTGCAGAGGCAGCCGAGTGTGAACCAGACAAGCAGACAGACAGGCGGACTGGCGATGGGGCCACACCGGCAGGCAGAAAACAGCAGAAAATGTGG